GGAGTCATTGATTGAGTATCGGTTTGACGGCTCGAAGCCATGGGAGGCTCGGATGATGCGTTCTCAGCGGAAGAATCGTCTTGGGACTGTACAGTCGATTTAAGTTTCGATGGAAAGAATCGCAACAGGCCACGGGCGGCTTGCTCCCCAGGGGTCAGTGAACTTGCTCAGCCGACTACTGAGCTATGGCCGCATAGCGAGCCCTGGCGGCTATCACGGGGATGTAGCTCAGATGGTAGAGCGCTCGCTTAGCATGCGAGAGGTACGGGGATCGATACCCCGCATCTCCATTTTGCGCATCCTGCAAAACTCAAAAAACGGATTGTCAAGGATCTGTTTATCATCCGTTCTGCAGTCTGCGCGATTTCATTTCATTTTGTTGCAGAAATGAGCGTTGAACCGGAAAAAAATATGTTCATTCGCTTTGTTGGTTTTCCATACGGAGATGGCGATTTTCACATCCGAAACAAAGACGATTACTGTGGACAACACGATTCACGATACTTCGACTACATATTCTATCTGAAGCGAATTTTCTACAGGATTCACCGCGGCAGATTTGGTGCGCTCAGTAAATAAGAAGGTTCGACAAATGTATATCAGGCGAAGGCTCTTATCAACTTACAAGGCGCTCGAGAGACTCACGAAAAGCCAGTTGAACCTCAGCGAAGCTCTGCAGGCATCAGGACCTTCGGATATAAAGAAAAACATCCAGGTAAGTTTCCCGTTTCCTTTCTTGTGCTTTCGCGATGCATCACCGCTCTGGAGAGAGGCGGGGATGGTTTTGAGTCAGAACAGCGACCCCGAACATTAGAGGGTCCTCTCGTTGCGTGACTCGAGTGTTTGAGAGCGACATGCGGAGTGAAGCCCTTCGCCGGCGCGGCGCATCATAGTGAGGTGCTGACCCTTGTCTATGGGCCGTTTCATTACGGATTTCGGATGGGCTCTCTCGATGGAGTTGGATCCCGGGTAGCCCCATCAGGTTCCCGTGGCAGCTGAATCAGTCGCTCATCGGCTCATTTGTTCGGATCTCATCGTCTTGTAGCGGATGCCTGACGTCGGATACAGCAGTCGTGGCCGAGCGGTTAAGGCGACAGACTAGAAATCTGTTGGGGTCTCCCCGCACAGGTTCGAATCCTGTCGACTGCGAAATATTTTTTTCCGTACAGAGCTGCGCTATTTCCTTGTCCCCGGGCTATCGATCTTCGATTTCTTTTGATAAGTGATAGAATAGCCCCTGTGAACCAAAGAACTGGATAAGGAGCAGCGAATTGATGGCAGAGCAAGAGCCGAGATATTCCGCACGCGACCGCATATTGAGAGCTGTCGATGATCAATTGATTATACTCCGCCGTGGAAAAAATCCGATCCAGGCTCTCAATTCCAATGACATTGTAGGTAGTTCCGTTTCCACCCGTTCCCGAGCCCGAACAGGTCCTTCGGCACACTCCCTCGATCGCCTTGTGCCTGCAAGCCGACACTTCTGGGTTTGATGTTCATACATTTACCGCAGTCAGGCACTCGGCTTCTTGCTTGCGACATGGGAAGCCTACGTTGAATCCCTGAATAGCCACGGCCGAACTTGTTCACTTGAGCCAGGAACGATCGGTGTTTAACGTGTCAGGATGGCCGAGTGGTCTAAGGCGCCAGACTCAAGGTCTAACCTTGCCCGAAGCGACGGGTATTGAGCGTTCTGGTCCTCGTATGAGGGCGTGGGTTCGAATCCCACTTCTGACACACCTTTTGGTGCTCTCGCGCAGTTCACCGATTAATCCATTCTATCGCGGCGATCGATGTACAAAACGAAGGATTCTTGTTCTTCTTCTATTTGACTAATTGCTTGAGAAACCAAGGCCGTCAGTTTTGGGAAATCACGGCAATCCCGAGCAAAAGGATACGAGTTCGGCAGGATTCGAACCTGCAATCTCCTGATCCGTAGTCAGGCGCGTTATCCGTTGCGCCACGAACCCATAAGCGTTATTTGGGAAACCAGGACAACTGATCCAGATGGTGAGCGTTGACCTTGGTGCAGACGCTCGCTGAAAAGGCTGCCGCCACGGCTCCGTCGGGGAGCGGTGCAGCCGGCTGTAGGGTTCTCCGGAAGGCCTTGACTCTCTGACTCACTCAGTATTTTCAAGTTTTCGCGCCGCTGCGCGTTGCGACGCATTGGTTCTGATGATAACTCAAGCGTCTGATCTATCCAAGCATTCTATGCACTGACTCGGTTCTCGGGAGCGAGTCATATTGCACATTCACGCTGGCCGCTAGCCGCCGTTGTAGCACAGCGTCGGTGGTTCAGTGGTAGAATACTCGCCTGCCACGCGGGTGGCCCGGGTTCGATTCCCGGCCGACGCAAAGTTTTGCCCTCCTATGCTCAGATGTCCTCCAAGCTGACTGTGAGCAGTCTCATAGCTCGCCGGGGTGTGTGGCACACCAACCAGGCATCTCCCTGACGTCGACTGCTCCGCTCCGCCGGGGTCGACGATATCATATCTAAGTCGTCCCCGGGAGTCAAAATGTTAGGGAGCCCGTCCCAGGATATCGATTTTTAGATCGATAAGGCGGGAGGGGTTATCAACATTCGTCGCGGATGAATTTTTATCCGTCGCTAAAAGGTTAAGAATGGAAATTGCTCGGGGAAAAAACTAATGTTCCTGCCAGGGCTCGAACCTGGGACCTTCCGCGTGTTAGGCGGATGTGATAACCACTACACCACAGGAACCGTACTCTCTGATGGAGCTGCAGTCGACAGGATGCATTGTCGGTCAAGGGAAAGAGCTCTCCTCCAGTCGATCTCTTCGAGTCCTCGAGATGGGGAATCAATCTGAGAGTCTCGATTGTTCCGTGGAGGCATTTAGGTCATGCATCGGATAATCTTGGAGCGGACAAATTATGCTCCGAGCGAGGGATACCACCTTATATGATGAAATTTATTTTCAGGATGAATTGCGTCTCATGTCTTCAGCGACAGGGGCCAGAGGCCAGGAAGGTCGCAAGACGCCTCTGACACAGCGAGATGTCGAACAGGATCGGGGGAAACCTTTGACGAAATACGAGCGTAATATCATGATATTCAACTGGCTTCATAATATAGATGATGACACTGAGATGCCGTTCGAAGTCGCGTCCCAGACCCAACAACCCGGGACCCAAACTTTGCAACCAGCCGCTTAGAATGCGCAGAGAGCGCCTATCGCGAACTTTAATGAGTTGTTCGGTCGCTTCGAGGCATGAGATGAGGTTGAAAGCCGTCGTGCCGGCCATCTCACCGGACGCGACGCCGACCTTAGCGTGAATCGAGCCTTTAAGATTAGGTCTGCTGCTCATACGGTTGTTGTGATACATAATGTGGATCATAGTGAAACCTCATGGGATCAGGAGCAATCCCCTGAGAGCGGCCGGATGGAACGTCGACGACGAGCTTGAGAACGATGTTGGTCCGATCCAAAGGTCGTCCAGGTGTTCCCCCGACGAGCGGCCCTGCACCATCTCACGTCTGACGATGAGAGTATATCATAATGGTCATCGTCGAGAAGTCGAGAAATCGTGTGACCCAAAAGGAGACTCAAGTCGCTTATCTACAATAGCTTACAGGGATCACACATGGAGGAGCTCCCCATAGGAGGGGGGATTGCCTCAAGCTTCGTCGGCCGTCTGGAAAAATCCCCAATCTCTAGGAAGCTCTTAGCCATCGTTCTTGGGAAGCAATCGATCTAGTGAAAACCTAATGAGCCTCTCGCAGGTGAATATGCCCGGCGATTGGAAGTGAGAATGATGCTGAATGCCACAAAGTGCGAACCAATGTATGTAGCACCATTCCGCGACGGACGAGATGAGAAAAGGAGTGGGTTTCGATTTTTGCCGTGAGCGAGATTTCCGATCCGGTGCGCTACCTTGAGCTAGACCCGATTGATCACCCATCAATTGTGCAACGCACCCCTTATTAATAATAGTTTATTCGCGACAAGATTCGTTAGGTGATTCAATGTCAATTCTTTGATTCCATCTCGTAGTGAGTAGCCTCTCCTCTTGGAATGTACGTATAGGTATTACGGGAGTCTTTGTATCATCGCTCTGTGCTCACGGCAAAGGGTCTATTCCTGACCTGGAGTTGCTCCTCGACGGTTTTTCGGAGTCATGGAGTTTTGTGGAAGCCGCCAGATGCCTCGTGGGCTCCGGCAGTGAAATATAGGTCAGAGACTCGACGAAAAGTCGAAAAACGAAGAATTGCGCCGTCTCTTAAAGCGTTCCCGAATTCCTAACCCAGGAGAGTTTCGAGAGGGATTGGCTGTTACACAATAGAATGTCTCCCGGCTCCGGGATTCGGTTGTTGTAAATTGTTCTTGACGTTGAGTTTGTATCCGAAGAATTACCTCATTTCGATTGTATAGCTTTAAGATACAAGTCTCTCCTAGTGAGGCCGGGTCTTCCCGGTCTAGGATTACCCAAGAAGAGCGGACTTGCGGGCGGGGAGGGAAGGGTGGCGCGTGACGCGTCGGGAGCCAGACTTGTCTGAGTTCTCGCGTCAAAGCCTCATCTGACCCTCCATGAGCGAGTCGAAGCGAAGCAAAAGTGATGAACACTATGGAACCAAAACTGATGAAGAATCGATCATCCGGATGTCTTTTCGCTTTGTAGTGACTCAGAAACGTGAAGCACCATGCCACGAAACCTTGCAGAAACACTGGATGAGATCCGCACCTTATCGTTTCTTATATCGGTGGCGGACGGGGTACAATTGAGCATTCATTGTGATGGACAAACACCAGTCCGATGACATCATGATAACATCCTGACCCAGATAGGAGTTGGGAGATATCGGGGAGCAAATGGAATATCTATACTGACGGTCGTCATGCGATCTCTGTGAACACATGTTGGAATAAAGGTGACTTCCCTCTTGATTTTCACATGAGGAATCTGATTTTTTTTTCTGGGTGCAGAAGTGCCGTCGAAGAAACTCCAGGGTTTCAAGCACAAACGTGAATGATCGTTCAGCCGTCACAGGAGCTCCTCCCACTCCGAGGGTAGAACCACTTTCAGCAGATTCTTCGGGATACCGGCCACCCGTCGGGCAAACCGTCCACGGGCATTCTTGCGCATGCGCTCTCAATGGCAGACACGCAGAGCGCCCTTACCTCGTTGTTACGATCAGCTGATTCAAGGGTTCTTAGATCAGAGCGAATTCGCGTCCTTCAATCCAGAGTCCCCACCAGCTGTGAAGATGCACCGAAATCATGCACCCTCTGGGTAAATATCCTCTTTGTATGTGGCCGAGAAGAGGGCGTATTGCGGGCGAGAAAGAGCCAGAAGAGTTCCCCACCAACAAAAAGCGCGTGGCAGTGAATCGAAATCAACATGTTGTTGTCGATGACGATTGCGTGCTGTTTACTATCGTTGCCGCCTAATTCGACGTAGTCACAATGAGCGGGGCGAGTAAGGAGAGCATGAGCTCACAAAACACGTGTTGTCTATCTTATCTCCAGAGATAAACTCCTCTGTCGATGAGACACCGGCTTGCGTACTAGCAAGAGTGGACGAATATCACCAGACTGCTGGCCGGCTCGCAATCTATGCTGTCTGTTATCAGCTGATGGAAATTCGTGTCACTCAGCGTGAGACTTCCGTCAAACCCATACGAGGGAGATTCCCCTGAATTAGAGAGAAGGAGGAACTGATACCGATGGAGGAACTGGTACCGATGAACTTCGCACTACGTCCAGTGGGATGCTTATTTCCTCCACATTCATTTACGGTTGGAATCTGATGCTTGCCCTTTGATCGGCTGATGAAATTCTCCGACTCGCCGGGGTCGTCTCCCGCATCGACGACATCATCCGAAACTTCCGCTGCTATAAGAGCCGCTCAACGATCCTCCCTCAGCTCTTGTTTTTCTTCACCATGCGGTCGAATCCATTGATTCTGTCGCCAATATCGACTGGAGTTCGCATACCGGAACCTCCATACTTCACCCTTCGGCGAGCTCCCCTCAGGTCGTGAGGGCGCTATGGATTCTCAGCTCGTATGAATGTATGCTCCTCAGAGATCACACGATCGTTCGGAAGGTTCCCCCCAGGATCCTCGAAGCGCGTCACTCTCCGGAAAAGACAGACATTCGGTGTCCTCGACCGATGGCGGAGATAATGAACTCAATGGGTTTGACCTCTCGCTTTCACTCCTTCGTACTTGTTTTCTCTTTGTTGACTAAACCAAAACACTTTCATGTTAGATAAGAATCTTTCGGTGTCTAGCGGGCCTTTTTTCCCTCGAATCGAGAGAGTTGCGCGACAGTAGTCTCCTCGGAAGTTGCCGTTGGCAGCGTCCCAAGCGAGCGCCTAGCCCCTTGAACCACGATACCCTCTCAAAAACAGCGGTGTACCGATCCAAAGGCTCCTTGGTTACAAGCTCAGGGACTGCGAAGCTGATAGGCGTAGAGATAACGATATCTCGAGCCCGTCTCAATATCCGACCGGTGACCGAGAGCTTAGGAATGCAAGAGATACAACCGATTGTACTGATGCAAAGCAGAGAGACTTTTCCGGTCTTAATGCTGGAGATTTATTCGGGGCTGCTTTCGCGGTACCTTTAGATCTGGAAGAGTCCAAAGGGTGCTAGCCCTCGTGGGAACGACCTGGAGATAAGTTCACGAAGCTCGTAGGAGCTCTGGATATCGATGGGCAATGAGCTCCATATGATTCAACTTCGATCTTGAACTTCCCCCTGCGAACCAGCAAGGGGCGAGCAAGGCTCCATCTGAGGTCCTCTCCGTTCATCTCTGGTCTCCTCAAATCTTCAGATGTCCCGAGTCCAGCGTAGTCGTCGGTTCTCCTCGAGGATTTGCATTAGTTGCCCTTTGCAGAATCTGGAGGCACAAGTCTTCTCGACCGCCTCCAAAAGCTCCGTCAAGTTCGATAGCTTGTACTCATCGTCGTACTTCAGAGCTGTTTCTTCCAAAGTCGAGATAGCATCACTGAAGACTTTCAAAAGAATTGTCCAAAAGAGGCACAGAGATATTGGGACCGGTCTGAACCACATCCCGATCGACACTTCGTCGTTCTGACTGTGAAAAAATGTCTTTAGATCGGACAGATGCAGGTGAGGGACGTGAGGGATGAATCTCGAGTCACGGAACGCTCAGCGCACTTCTCGCGAAGACCCCACTATTTTCGTCCTGCAAAGTCCTCCGAAATCTCCTGTCGATTCATCGAGACCTCTCCTTCGATTTTCCTAACTCAGGAATTGTAGGGACCTGTCATTCCCTCCTGCTGCCCTCGATGCACTGAGAATGGAGTTGGGTATCTTATCGCAAGAGTGATCGGAAACATTCTATGCTGCAATGGAACCTCGAATCCGCCCTGCATGATGCGAAGGTTTTCTCTCCCCTCCGCAGACGACAATCGCACTGACGTTTTATCAGCCTATCTTTGATATATGTGGCCATCTATGCAAGTAGTGCGGACCAGATGCTGGAGAATGTCTGGAATGTCGTGTTCCTTTTTGGGGTTTCGAGAAGTGTCTTGAGGCCATGCTTGGATCCCTGACCCGTTCTATGATTCTCATCGGGCGATTCTGATTGCGATTCGACCGCTCATAGCTTGTTTCGCGCTCGTAATTTCTAACCCGATATCCTCATTGTAGGCGGTGCTAAAGAACCCGATGCCAGCTCGAAAACGACGGCACTAAGTCTGCAATCGACTGCCTGCGTCACGCATATCTTATCTCGCCGATAAAGTAAAGAGATGGAGGGCTCGGATGAGGCGATAAGGGCGTCGCGAACTGTTAAGATCATCGACTGTGTTCGAAAGCAAGACATTCTCGCCGAAAACGAGTCGAGAGAACATCTCCGGCTACTGTCTCTCGATCCAAGCTCGAAACAAGGAGACGCAAACGAGTTGACAATCATGGAGTTGGTCAAGAGTTTCGCCGCTGGCTCTATCAGCGCAAGTTTCTCATCGGTTCTCCTCCAGCCCCTCGACCTCGTGAAAACTCGCTTGCAGCTCCATCGGAACGTCGAGCGGAACCTAGTCACGCACATGACCCACATCGCCAGGACGGAGACAGTCAGAGGTCTCTGGCGAGGAACTGCCGCGAGCGTCGTGCGGAGCGTCCCAGGAGTCGGCATGTACTTCGCGACGATCCACAGCCTCAAACTTGCGACGGGAATAACTCATCCGAGTCCTACTGAGGCCCTCGTACTAGGCGTAGTCTCCCGCTCGTTCGCGGGAACGATGCTCCTGCCCGCAACCGTAATCAAGACCCGCTTCGAGAGCGGCATCTACCCGTATAGATCGATGGCGCACGCCGCTCGTTCGATTTACGCCGCTGAGGGATTCCGGGGTCTCTACTCGGGATTGCTGCCCACCCTGGCCAGGGACGCGCCTTATTCGGGCTTGTACTTGTTCTTCTACACCCAACTGAAGGATGTCGCATACGTCCATGTAATTTCGCCGGACAGTGACTTCCGAGATGCTGCCAACTTTTTCTGTGGAGTTCTTGCCGGTTTAACAGCATCGCTTGTGACCCAGCCGGCAGACGTGTTGAAAACGAAAATGCAATCGAACCCGTCGAAGTTCCCCACGGTGCGACATGTGGTCGTGTATATTGCGGCACACGAAGGCGTCCAGGGATACCTCAGCGGACTCGCACCTCGACTTCTGCGGCGAACGCTCATGTCTGCCTTCGCGTGGACCTTCTACGAAAAGTTAAGCCAGCGGTTCTTGAAGTGATCTGGCTGCGAGACCGCTGTTACCAGTCAACGGAGGGAAATTAGCGGAGGAATAGGAGACGATTCCTCGATGAATGACGGAGCGCGAACAAAGATCTCATAAATTATTCGGACACCCATGGTCGTTTGCATGGAGCGAGGCCCGTAAGCGCTGCAATCGTTTGCGATGGCTAGAACTTTGGATTAGATTGGGGACGTCTTTCTAAAAACGTAAGGGACATAGTCGAGAAAGCCCTTATACGACTCGAGTACCTCTTTCCCGGGAGTCTCCCAATTAATGTGACCACAGATTGGAGACTTTCGCATAGACCTAGTAGTGAGAAAACCTGGATCAGCCCCTAGGGACCGTGTTTGTACGCAACTGGTGTATATAAGGGCGTTGGAGCCCATCTCCATGACTTCAAAGTCTGTCGGACCCCGGTCTGTCGCTTGGGCCGCCTGTACATTTCTGTAAACATCTAGTCGGCTCAGCGCAACGTCAACGGAGTAGAGAAAAAAAGGGCGCTTTTGCGGTGTTACTTGATGATATTATCGATCGAGTTACTTGCCAATGTTGTTTCTATTGGCGAATACGAAATAAAATATTTATTCTTGTATGTACATTGCGAGAAGAAGTCTCATGTTTTGGCATTGGACCAAGTACATATCATATCCGGCATTGATCTCCATAATTTCGTGGAAGCATTTCCACAGAATGTCGCTCTTGTGAACTCGCTTGCAATAGACTCCGGGTGAATCGTTTCTCTTCCACTCATCAAACGATTCCCCCCTCATTGAATCTGATGCTGGTTACTCAGTTGCAAAGAGTATCCATACAATGAGATTTCGGAACTTCGAACGCCATCATAAGATTCCGAAATCACCACAACGAGCGAGAAAATAAGTCTACATGGCTGGAGCACCGATGACTTACCATTGGGAAATCGTCGTACAGCGAAAATCCTGTGAATGATCGGAGTTCGCTGGACTCAAGAGGCTTGTCGTATAGAGGCTTCACTGTTCATGCTTCTATTCGGAAATCCTACCCCCCAAGAGACATTATGAGTCCCCTCAGATACGTGTCCGTGACACAATTTGAATCTGAATTTTTCTCCCACTGGATCCAGCGGACTTCACTGTCTTCAACAACTTCAAGGCCACATGACATGTTCCAACAGATCGAGTTTGTGGCTGAGGCGTCCGAGGCTCCCGAGGGACTCACCCCACACCCCTCGTATTTTTGGGCAGCACTCACGTATTCAAGATCAATCGCATTCTCCCTTCGAAGCAAGAGCTTGCCTCATTTGTAGCTTTATTTTCATGAGGGACACGAAACTGCTGGCGCAACGACTCAATTCTCTGTGTTAATCAATGCCGCCAATCTGCCGACTCTTTCTTTGATTTTGGCGTCGAATGTTGCGTGAATGTCCTTGCATCCTTCGATGGCAGCTTCAATGGTTTTGCTGACATGATCTGAGTGGATCTTGGAGCTCATATCGACGAGGACGATTCTTTCCGTTTTCGGTAGGATGGCCACTGTCAGTCCGGTGCCTTTCTGGCTCTCCTCCAGGTTGTTCAAGTCCAAGAGAGCAGCGTCATTAAAAACTCCCGCACTACATGCACAAACGTAATCCCTGAGACCGATTCCCGCGTCCACGAGGGCCATCGTTGCTGCGTTGATCGCTACGGACAGGATACTTCCATCCGCTTGTAGAACTTCGACGAAAATATCGATTTGGCATCTCGGATACAGTTTGGTCAAAATGGCGGTTTCGAAGGTCTGTTGCAGGTGGAGCGTCATTTCGACGCTTTTCGTGTCGCCGCGGGGTCGACGTTTCCGCTCTGCCGTGGAGAAGGTTGCAGCCGAAAATTGACAGTTCACAACAGCACGATCGTGGAGTGCCTGGAGTATATATTCGTTAAGCTCTAAATCAGATTGTACATCAGGGTTACATTACGGGGTCGGGTCTCCGAAATCGCAACTAACCTTGACACGGCCACCTCGGACTTCATGAGGACCATAAACCGCTGCCAGGACGACGGTGTTGCCCTCTTTGACGTATGCTGAACCATCGGCTTGCGCGAAAACTCCGAGGGAACAATCGAGTTTCCTCATTTCTTGAGCGCGACGCCCGTCCACACGGAACCCTTCCTCAGAAAGATATTGATGGCCTGACATCTGTGACAGAATTCGCCGGGGTTTCAGGAAGGTCTAATCTTCTATTTCAATTCAGGTTTCCGGTACATGGAACTATGCTCCAAAATTCGAACTAAGAAAGGCGTTTTGGGCTTAAAATCAGACTTCTGACCTCGGCTAGAAGAAGGCTTTGAGCCGATACGGTTCACCGGCACTCGGCAGACCCTCACTTCGACCGTGGTGCCTAGCCTGAAGGACAAGCCTGAAATCAAGCACGAGATTAGCGATAGACAGGTATAAATTCCAGACTAAGAAAAATTCATTTGCCGCGCATTCGAATTATGCACGAGTGCAGACCTCAGCAAGCAGCTCTTGCAGAGGAATCGAAGAACAGGGGAAACACAGTGACGCCCGCAGGCTCTCAATGCCAGAGGAAGCAGGAACCTCGAATGTGGAGCGGGTATCCTATGTGAAGCACAGCTAGCACGGCAAAGGAATGCAAATAATTATATCGACGTAAAATGATCCAGGAGCAGCGTTTGCAGACGAAAGTACACCGGGCGCTGATGATGATGATCTCTGATTGGAATGATAAATCCTGTGGGCTCTCCCGCGTTCTCGCGATTGTGTGCGAGGGAAGGAATTCAACTTGATACGTCGACACCCATGGAGGACTGCGGCGATCTCGAGGTTATTCGACGGAGCTCCGTAATCGATTCCAGGAGTGCTCGTACCTCGAACTCACCACGCAGGGAAGCAGAAGCGCAAAGTGAAGCACGTCCCCGGAATCTGAAGGTAGTTCCCAGCGCGCCCGAAATTAGGAAAATTGTCGCCATATCCGAGCGCCCCGATCATACTCCGCATCAACATTGACTTGTAGAGAGTAAAGGAGCATCATCTCCGGACGATTCTCTCAGAGTCACAGGGAGCGAGTTCGGGTGATTCTCTAGGCTCTAGGTTTCATGGAGTCCTGGTGTATGCCTTTTTCTGTCCGTAGAAATAGTCAGGAGCGTGGTCGGCTTGTCTGCTTGAAGAAGCTCCCTGCACTATCGTTGAGTGAACTCAGGCATGCTACTCTCGCCGACACTGGAAGATTCTGACAGGAGATGCTGAACAAGAAGAGTTCGAATATATGAGACTGATGGAACGAAAGACAACATACGAAGAGGAGACATCGTCCCTCCGGAAGGCGCTCACCAGGAGCTTCAAGTATCATCTCCGGAAACACAATTTATTGCGGAGCAGGGTTCATCGGTGCGGTGAGTAATATCTTCGAAGTACTATTGTATAATGTCCCCGCCAATGCAGAGAAAGGCAATAAAATTACAATCAGCGTATCGGGTCCGCCGGGATGGACACGAACCACCATGTGTGGGTTCAGGAGCCCGGTCACCGGTGAGCTCCTAGGGGAGCCGTGAGCTGTCAATCGTGGACAGCTGCCAATCGTGACGGCGAGTACTCAGACGAGGTGTTTCTTCAACCTCTAAGTCCTTTCTTCAGATAATTTTTGAAGTAATTAAACTCTTCGAGAGTCGGCTCGATGACATCTAGCATGGGATCCAAGAAGAATCTAATGATTCTCTGCCGGTTCCACGGACTGTCCTTGACTTCGGCAAAATCTTCGGCGATTTGTCGGACAGCTTCTTTATGTCCAAGGATCCGCGGTGCTGTAATGCAAGAATACTCAATGATTAGGGTCGGTTCCCGCCCGAAACACCCGAAGAACAATGACGCGATCGATCATCGGAGCTGGAAATTATTTACAGTTATCATTTTGCAGGAAGAAGTGAACTCCTATGGTGTTGTCTTCCAGGGCTTTTTCGTCGATCGTCACGGCGTAGATGGACTCGCGGGTTCTCCGCAAGGTATCGACGCGGGGTCCGATATCTTGCTTTTTAGCCACAACAATGTCGCTTGTTCGTATTCCATGTTGATGTATGCAGAAGGTTACGCTATGAGCGAAGAGCTCCGTGTCCGCAAGTCTCAGTACAACGCAGTCTATCGGACCGGGTCCTGCTAACCATGGCGCCCTACGGAAATTCCAGAAGAGGTGGTTTTCAGTTAAAAATGGCTTTCTCGATGTGCCGAGAGCGAGGCAGCTCTCCCTAGGAAACGAAAGACCTACCGGGGTAAGATGTCTGGTGTTTGAGTTGACGATTCAGCTGTGTCGACTTCACCGCGCTCGTCGCCCGTCGACCTGTGATATACGTGCAAAGTTAGTCGAGCGAACTATCTTTGGGCTGACGGTGGGGAAATGTTCCCAGGGAAAGGGAGTTCCTCCTATGTTGATGAGAAGCCCGGATTCGCGGTCTCGCTTACTTGGGTGGAGGAACGGTCGTTTCCGCGAGCATCTTGGGATCGTCGCACGCACCTTCGGTGGCCGACTGTTGCCGTACGCTCCTGACCCCGGAGCCTGCCGTGAGACTCAGAGTTCTGGGATCTCTCGATTTGGTGAAAGGATGCATAGTCGACTGTTGGCCAAGAGCAGAATGTCCCCGCAACCCTCACTGCCTCGAAATAGTTGCCGAGCAGGTCTCAGGATGTGTGACACCGGTCCAAATGCCGCCTACGATATTCTGGGTCATTCTTGCTTGATCGAGAGTGATTTAGAGAGAGCCGGTAGCTCCGGATCAAACGCTCAGAATCAGCTGTTAAGAGGTATCGAGCCAGTCTCAAGGCTCATCATCAGCTCTTGTCGCGCCAAGATGAGTCGCTGGCCTGAGGAACTCTCGAAAAAATTCGAGAGGAATGGTAGGAAACCGATCAGGAGTGAAGATATCCCTTGATCCGAAAATCCATTCGAACACGGCGGGAAAACATATTATCCCCCCACAGAGCTGACGTCTGCCGCCGAACGATGATGATGACAATGATCTGTACGAACCGGATCGGGCGATTCTTTTCGCGGCTTCGAAAACTCCCGGCCATCGAGTCACGATTCGACAAACAGGGTGTCGTTTTCTGTCGCCTATGTCGCTTCCCGCCGGGGATTCGCCGGAGACGCGAGCTCGGAAATGAACGATGCTGGCGAGAAAACTTATCAAAGGAATGAAAGATTGAAAGAAATGAAGAGCTGGTGAGAATCAGGCTCCAGGTGTGAGGAGTTAAGGGAAATCTCCCGGTCTCCCCGGTCCTGTGTCACATCTCCTACACTCTAGCTTTATAGTTGTTTCCGCATCGACTCGTACCCCGATTCCGCGCCGGGAGGACGCCTCACTTACGGTAGAGAGAGCCTCGGAGCCCGTACGAAAAACGCGGAATAATCCTTATGAAATCCTCCGCCTTCTGGTACATTCTGCAAACAATGCGAAAACAAGCCGTGTGGTCGTCCATTTCGAGTCCGAGGCTCCTTGCGACCGTAGGACTGCGAAGAGGCTTTCGATTGCGACCCCCTCCCTCACGTCCTTTTTCGATCCTCAGGGTTGATGGATTTCTCGAAGCCGCTGCGAAAATTGAGTCTATCCGGGGGCTTGCATAAGCCCGTCTTATCGAGAGCTCTCCCAGTGATCATTCCGTCGATGGGTTCGAGAGCGGCGTCGACGCGACGCCGGCGTTCAGCAGTGAGGGGTTACAAACGTCGAGGAGAAACCCTGGCCAAACGGGGATCGATAAAAAAAAACATGGGTTTCGGGAGGGCTTCTGGGAGTGAAGGAGCGTCACGCATTCGAACGACTAGGGCGTGGAAGTTTCAAGAAACGTGGTGACAGTATCAGAATATAAAGGCCCGGGGGGTACCTGAACATATACATATACTAATCGCTCCACTCGAATTCGGATCTGGGATGAATTCCTAGGGTCACATATGCATCGGGAGAATCTTCAACTTCCCACATTCGGTTGTGACAGTGACAGAGAAAGTAATTATCCTGATTACCTAGCAAACAGATCAGAACAGGTGTCTTTCGGGATGTCGCAGACGCGATCTGTGCGGGCGTCGAATTCGTCGCGTCAACAGTTCTAGTCGTCTTTCGCGATTCCGAATGCCGATCTGTCATAGTCGTACATATCCGTATAAATGGTCCTTTTCGTGGTGGACGAGCAAGGAGGGGACCACTTAGTCTTGGGCTCTTCATATAATTTATAAATATTTATCGCAAAAGTTATAGGTTGTTCCCGGCAAATTGGGAGACACTAGAACTTTCGAATCCTCGAGGGTAAACCGCGGTCAATTCTCTATCGGGTAGTGTTCTAATCAGCTTCCACATGCGTCATGCGATGGATCATATTTTTCATTTCTTGCCTTAGAGCGAAAATTCCCTTCTTAGACCAAGTGGTAATTCGCCTGCCGGTGCGAAAGATTGTTTTTCCGAAGCTCTAGGCTGCACCTTCCGATCAAGGCTCAGAGTAGCAGAAGACTTCACGCTTGTCGCGCGCCTTAGCCTCGAGGAGAAGGTTTGAATCTGACCAACGAGGGAGAGGGCTCCCTTACCCTTCGGAGGATGCTCTCACTCTCGATATAAGGGATGCTTGGTTTTTCCCTACGCATTGTCGAGCCTTCGCCAGCGGCCTGGCCGCGAGTCTATGTTTTCTAAAGCCTAGGAAGTGTCCCTACCGAAGTATTGTGAGTCTGGTCTCTACAAGAAACAATCGAGCCGTCATGAGGCTCTCAAGGCTGAAGGTGACGCTTTGTCCGATCGTCGTGTGTGTGTTAGCGGCTGCAGCTGGACGGGCCGAAGGTGAGTCCGGGGAGCTGAACGAATCGTCTTGCCAATACCCGATCTGACAGAAAACCCTTTTCGAGGTGCACGACCTGGATGCTCAGATCTCCTTGAGGTTTCTCGACTATGGCCAGAGGGAACAGGCTGCGTGACATGGTCGATCTGTATGATCGAGCACGTGTGCGCATACTGCGTGCTCCGGAGCACTGGCCTTGCGTCTGACCCCGACACCCTAGAACATGTGTTCTGTCCTGGAGATCCTAGACCGTTCCGGCATGGATGGGGACTCGTCCTAGGAGACTGCTTCGAGAATGAGACGGATATCTCGATTCTTTTCTCGGTTCGAGACCGAGGGGAGTCCTTCGTCCGGTTCAAGCGGGAGGTGTCGAGGCGAATGTGCTAGACATGCACCGCTCGCGGTCCGGCCGAGGACAACTACCTGTCAGGCGAGAGTCGGGCATGATCGCCAATTTATGAGGAATAGTTATGAAAGGGAAATCGCTATCTGAATTCACTTTCCTGAATGCGCGATATTTCCGGATTGATCAAGGGATTCGATTCTCTGTGCTCACTGCGTGTATACACTTGATGGAGTTCCGGTCCGACTCGACCCCCCTGTGAGCAATAGCGTTTCATCTTCGCTAGTATCACCGTAGTGGGAGAACTCATTCCCATGTGCTATTAGTCCCGTCAAAATGAGCCAGCACAGTTTCTCGTCGGTCTATCGGAGCCCTGATCCGCAGAGCTAGCGCTCTACCGAATCTCCGATGATTATGGACGGGATACGGGATCTTTTCGGAGTCGATCTGATCGGATAACCTCCCGATCCGTCAGCATGATCAGCGACTCTCGGTCTGACCAATCAAAATCAAATGACGCCTTTGAGCAGAGCAGCACGGAATCCAAAGAGCTCACGGGTCGGTCGTCGCAGTGGTTGTGATAAAGAAATGCGGGTAAAAAACTGAGCGGGTATCTCCTCGGCACCACTTCAGAATCCGCTGGGAAGGCTTGGATTAGCCTTCAGATGATGCTTCTAGAAATCGACGAGCGGTTTTGCTGTACCCTACTCTTTTCGCCATTCTCCACGTCGGAGAAGGATCCCCAAAAACTCCTCGGAGCGATGTCGACGCCGATCGAGTTTCCATCGGTTAAAATTTCCGGGAACTGAATGCTCCTACGCTCGATTCACTTTGTTACCTTACGACTGGTCCGCGCCTCTGATAACGGAGTTCAAAGTGGCAACGCCGGAAGGACGCCACGGCGATTCCCGATCTGCGGTGAGATTTCCGCTCGCCCTCAGGGTCGGAGATCCCCTCCACCGGTGATCGCCGCCCACGATCGAGACCGAGCATTCAACTGGCGCCGGTAGTCGGTTCTGTCTCTGGGCACTCGAAGGTCATTCTCCCCCGGCAGGTTTCTCATTCACTGCCACAGCCCGCTTGTCTCGAGGAAATGGAACATGCCATAGTGGGCGATGGAGTATAATTAATTGACGGGAACTCATCTGGAATCATCCCCGGGGTCAGAGGAGTACGGAAAGTCAGCTCAGGGATATGTAATGCCGAGTCCTACGCAATTGATATAATAAAACGACAAATATTATACCGTGGTATAATTTCAGGAAAATGCTCCATAACGCAGTTCCAATGCGCCGATGGAGATCATTGTATCGACAAGGAATGGGTCTGTGATGGGGAAGACGATTGCCCCGATAACTCCGACGAACAGTCATGTTCTCAGAAGAAACAATGTCCAGAAAACCAATTACGATGTAAAAACGGACGATGTCTGTCTCAAAATTGGCTATGCGACGGTCAGGACGACTGTGGGGACAACACGGACGAGTCCGACGAATATTGTGGTGAGTTGTATGGCATTACGTTTTCATCGGAGGATACCCATCACCTGATTTTAGAGTCGAATACCACGGGATTTTATATCCATCTCAGATCGGATTGAATTTTTTTCTCGAAATCACTGCATTTACGTTCTATATCGGTGACTTTTCTTCTGATGCTCGAGAGATTGGGCGACCCCAACTCTCGAAAGAACGGAAGGATCTTGTCTGAAAATAGAATCAATATTTACAAGGACACGTGTTGTCTCTCAGCTAGTCGACAATCGTGTTCACTTTGATTTACATCGCTACATTGAGCACGGGGATCCTCCTATAGCTTGTTGGAATGTTGTGTCTTCATTGGGGATTGCGGTCCCTCGTCGATCGATGAAGCAAAGGTTGGGGAGGGGGACGCATGGGTCGAAACTGGCCTTTTGTTCGAGCTCAAGCGAGCTTCGACCCCCAAGAGCGCTGTGAATCATCCCCGTCCACCACTGCTCGGGCTCAAGGGGGTTGGGTTTGATAGCGTTTCGATGGTCTACAGATGTGCGTCCCTGATTTAACCGGATTGTTTCGTGAGCCTCATCCCCCCTGCAATCATAACGAGGCGATCATCGCAATCACCAGATTCGTTCGGTGAAACCCTTTGGCATCGGTATGATTAAGAACGGAGGAGGCCGGAGCATGTGGAGCGACGGGATGCCCAAAGGTTTTGAATGAACTCCCTAAGATTTTGTCGTACCGCCACTACGTGAGGTGACCTACCAAGAGAGTTCGTCACACGAAACAATAGATCCCGGAGCCCCGTGGGATTACCACATGCATGACGGAGACCCTTCCAGTGTTGAGCGGGCGATTGTTCGGAGCCCGCATCCGAGCCTTGGCCGCGACCCTAGCCGGGAATTCGGGTGATGCGACTAATCATCGACAATCAGCGCGATCAACTCCAACCGTAGCTGGAAACGAATCGAAAAAGCGAAGACGACCGCGTATCGCAGCACGCTCGACGCAGCTCCCGATACTAGACCCGGAGCCCCGGGGAGTGATGGTGGTCGGGAGAGGAACGATGATGATAGAATCTGATAAGCTCGTCCCCCGCATCTCGCGATCCTGGAGCCCTTCCGAGACGGGAGATCGCGGGGGACGCGGAGCAAACACGGGACACCAATGAAATTCTCTGCGCGTGCAAGTAGTCAGCGAATGACAACCGCGCGACTTCTGCGCTTACCGATCGTCGGAAAAAGCTGAGCATCTGATCGTACCGAGCAGCGGGGCGAATCTCCGACTACCCGCTCACGAGCTTTTCCATTGCGTTCCAGCCAATCGTAAATGTACAAAGGACGAATTCCGATGCACAGAACCAGATGGTCGGTGCCTGAAGAAGAGATTCCGTTGCGACGGTCGTCAAGATTGCAAAGACGGCGCTGACGAGCTCGGATGCGGTGGGTCTCACTATGATCTCGTGACGAATAAAATGAATTGCGTCGTTTCTGACATCTCGATCCCCTCCGATCGAATCTATCATCGGTCTCTGAGTTCTCACGCTCGAAATCTCTTCCAGTCCGACCTACGTGCTCTTCCGTTCAATTCGAATGCCACCATGGAGGCTGCATCAGCATAAAATGGGTTTGCGACGGTGACGAAGACTGTCACGACGCGTCGGACGAGGTGGACTGTGAAAGACCGAAGAATTGCTCTTCGAAGCACTTCCAATGCGCCAATGGGAAGTGTGCGATGTTAGAGTAAGCGCGATACTTTCATTTCGAGTTTCAGCAGCGATTTTCCCGCCGCCGCGTGATCTTGCCGTTAAGCAGCCCGTGCGAAAA